GCGTCGATCGATATCCGCGTGGACAGCAGCAGACCGGAATGTCCGAGTTTGGCCAACGCCAGGAGCATCACAAGATAATTGAGGTCCGAGGGACCTAGTAAAGACATGACGGTGGGAGTTTCTGCGGAGGATGTCCGGGGCGGAATACTTCTGGCCAATACTTGGGCGACGCGGAAGGCGTAGACATCGAGTTGGCGAAGGGGGTAATCCACGTATTCGATGCCGTTGTGTGGGTAGGAAACGACAGGCTGTGAATTTCCCAGAGATGCACGTTGGCGGACAAGCTCGTCGAGTGTCAAGGGCTCTCGCTGTGATGTCTGAAGGGAGGCATGGTCGGCCTGTGCTAGAGGTGCCCGCAAAGTAGGCGCTTGCGGAAGTATTGCAGAAAGCATTTTGGTCAAGAAAGCACTGATTGTGCACTCAATGAAGATGACTATGTCTTTGAACAAGTAGATCAGACTCCAGCTTTTAAACGCATCATTCCTGCGAATAATCCGGATCGCCTAAACCGCATGGTAGAAGGGTTCCGTCATGCGCTTCCTGGTGTTGGTGGAGAGAGGCATGGATATCCGATCAGCCCGGATATTTCTCCGAGCTCAACTGCATGCTTGCATGGCACCCTCATCGTGACGATCCAAGTCATTTCCGGGCCATTTCCAAGATTAGTCTGACTGCCTGTCTGTCTTTTAATACCAGCAAGTGAGGCCACACAGGCGTATCACATGTGTCTTAACAGCATAACCAGCCAAGGCAGTTGATCTTCACTATGGCCCTAGCGCATCTACAACAACGAAACAACTGCCCGGGGCAACTCCAACATGCGAGGAAGAATCCGCCGGAGTAAGGTCCAATATAGTACAGATCATCCTAAGTCGTGTAGTCCATTCATATCATTAATCAGTCAAAAGAGCCTGGCCAGGCATGCAACATTTTCAAGACATCATGATCGAGTCGCTACATAGGGAATGTCGGCGGATCGTTACTCAGATTTGTAAATGCCTAAGCAAGAAGCATTCAGTCAGTCTCTCCGTGTCAAAATCCTTGCCTAATTATATCACTTACCCAGGAGTCAATCTGCGTCCACAGGAGTGAGCCGTCCAAGCTATCCAGAAAACTCAGGTCTATCTCCGACTCCAAAGGCGACGGTGTAAAATTAGTCGGCGGGAATCCACCCGAACAATCATAGGAAGCAGGCTCCAAGGGCCCAGAAGGGTATATGCTAGTCACGCTCAGCTGTCCTTGCTCCGCCAGTGTGCTCGGATTCTGGCCCGGAAAGAAGACAGCGCGAAACCCCTCGGAGGTATCGCTAGATGAGCCAATCCGCCTACGGACTTCCCGCCTCAGCTCTTCCAGAATGATGCTGTAGCGGCGACTGGGTGAATTCTTCCGGGTGGCCTCTGCCAGATGCTGCTGGCAGGTTTCCGCCAGGCTGAAAAGGGAGTAGAGATGGTGGACGTCCTCGATCCCAGGGGAGGATATCCCAAAGGTAGTAGATAAGCGATGCTGTTGGATTGTATATATGTACACCACAATGATGGCGCAGAAGCACACATAGTGGGTAAACCAGAACGATTGTATCAGGACCCTCTGTTTCGCTAAGCTATCCACTAACCTCATGGCTTGCTCGGCAGCCTCGATGCACTTGAGCACATGATGAGTCACCGTAGGATGAGGAATCTGTGGTGTGCGGCTCAGATCCGTAAAGTCGTTCAGCAAAAACGACCGGGTCGTATGAATCACCGCGTGTGAGTAAGCCAACTGCAGAACCTGACTCTGCCTACATAGTGGAGGGATCAGGCTCGTGGCACGAACACTATTGAAAAGTGGAGGGGTGGCTGCTTTCCAGTCTTCAAGCTTCAGCATGAGGCGTGCAGCCGTCTCAAATGAGGCATCTCGCGATAGAGGGCTGACGGTATACAGCTGTCGCGAAATCTCACCGAGAATACGACCCAGTCTATGCAGTCAATCACTACTGTCAAGCACCAAGGAACAGATATAAGCATACCTATAGTGAAGAAGGGAGGCAGTCATCATACAATCTCCCACCCCTGGTCCGGTCGATGAAGATTCTTCCAACATGTCTTCATCGTGGACTTCCTCAGGAAGCTCTTGATCAATGTCCTCATCTTGAAGCAGACGAGGTCTCCCAAACATGACGCTTAGATATTTATCCAAAGTATAAGTGCTCCAAAACAGGCGCTTCCGAAGCTCCCGGTCGAGATAGGAACTGCCGTCGCGGGGGACTTTGCCTCGGTGCCTGCGGTGTAAGCCCAACGCCGTCACCAACTGGAGGGCTGTACCGAAGGAGTACCAGCACTCGTTGGCCCTGGAGGAAGAAAGTAAATAGAAACATTGGCCCAGTCGCGCCTGCACTGATTCCAAACGCGGAGCTCCAGACTCCAGGGCGGTCATGGATTTGGAGGCCGCATACCACTGCTCGCTGCGATTATATCAGCCTGCACAATGAACCAAGGTCGTCGAGGCGAAGCACACTCACCTTCCATGCTGCCGATCTATCTGACTATCTGGGTCTTGCTCCTCGTACAAGGTGCCCACCGCAAAGACCATGAAGATTATGGCTGTTCGCGCTACCATGTGCCCCGTGGGGGGGTTGGATACAGAATTATTACATTCATACACCTGCTGCAGCCATTGGTCCACACTCCCGCGATGCAGGAAACGATATGTGACCATGGACAAGTCGAAGTAGGTATTGACCAGTTCCCGGGCCTTCTCATACGGAGGCAGTGTGAATCCACTGTCGCGATGGGCCGCGTACGGTTTATCCCCGAACTTGAACACCGACGTATTCTTGGATGGAGATTCACCATGTAGTGTATCGGGAACCGCTCGTTTCTCATCCTGATATAGACGACGCCAGACGCGATTGAGGAAGGACAAACCTGAGGCAGGTCCTAAATAGTTGCCTTCCAGATCGGTCACAGCGGGGTCCGGTGAGTTGCGCTGGGAGAGGTTATTGTTGTTACTGTTGCTGCGGGTGCGATCATACAGATCTTGCTGAGAGGCTGATCCAATGCGTGGCAACGAGCGTGCGATTGGAAGTGAGCGCCGGGTTCTCGGGCCGTGGACCGCATGAGTGCCCCCGAGCTGTTCGCCAGATGAGGCAGGCAGGGGCTCGGGGGGGAGCCCTCGTGAGTAGGCGGCATTGTATTCACATACCAGCGACAGCCGGGTACACCTTACGCAGGGAATGGTTCCCGTACAACGAGTCTTCTTTTCCTTGCAATGATCGCAGGCTCGGGTAATCTTCTGCCGGGGAGTATGGGATTTGTGTATAGATGAGGAGGACCCGGAGGATCTTCTCGGTCGTTTTGCAGGAAGTAGATCTCGGCCACTGGCACTAGATCTAGAACGAGATCGAGCCCGGGCCCGACAGTGATTGTCATTGACGACTCTTACTGGCACTGGGTCCTCCGGTGACGACAGACGGTCTGCCGTAGCGACGACAGTGGCAGCCATATGGACATATCCCGGATATCGTGACTGGTGGCTGGGGGGGAATTAACGAGAAAGGTCCTACCAGAGGAAGGAGAAGAAGAATACGTAGTAGGTACGTAGTAGGTAGTGAAGTTAGTGGAAGGGAGAAATTTCCGGGGGGGAACAAGACGAGCGGGGAAACACTGAGTCTAATCCGAAGTTGTCACTTCGACCACCGGGTTTCCCTTTTCCCCAAGGCGGGGAAGGCGAGAGGAACTTCGGAAACAAAACTGCGGGGTGGGATTTGACCCAAACATGACAAACATGTCTGTGGTGCAGTCAAGCAAGCTGTCAGGCTGTCAAGCTGTCAGGCTGTCGGTGGATAAAGTTAGAAATGTTAGAATCTGGGACATCTCCGCGGAGATGCTGCAATCGAAACGGGGGACACCTATCCACTATGTATTCGCCTCATGCCCCGACTGGACGTACAGTACAATACATTATACAGTACGTACAGTGCATCAGAGACAGTCAGGGTAGGACTTGTGTACATATGTAGATGTAGATGCAGATGCAGATGCAAATGATTTAACTTGGAAAGTCACCTCTCATGATGAGTCAGCAGCATCAAAGCAACCAACTTGAATAATAACTACTACTCAGGAGCTTAAATCTCAACTCGCAGCAGCGGTACGGGCTAGAGGATTGCCAGCAAGCGTACTATGAATCTTAGACCAAATCGACGATTTGATGTAGCTGGGAGGGCCCTTGACCATGATAGATCTACATCTACTGGACTGTACAGTACAGTACAGTACAGTACAGTTCAGTTTATCTGTATACTATGAAGCACGCACGCGTCACGTCCACTGATCTTCCCCGATAATCCGAAGACCCTGCAGAGAATACAACGAAAACACCACCCACGTAGGACTACAGCATGAGTAAGAGACCAGAAAAGCATACATGACCCTTCCAGTGCGGACAATGTAGATTCCATTCTAGTGAAAAACACAATACAGTGGCAACGTCACGGGTTATCCGCGCAAAGGGACTGATTGGGCATTGGCTCGAAACGCGCGGTGCTGGTGGCGGCCACCATAGGAACTTCAAATCCCGCTGCAAATACATCCCCGCACGCCCACTATGTTCAAAGGCAACCTCCCTCGCAGCAGGTATCCTCCCATTCTGCTCAGCTCTTCCAACCCGGTTGTATCCAAATTGTCTGTTCCAGTTCGCCAGAACGAACAAGACCAGCCACGAGAAAAGTTCATTCCGATGCCTGCATCTTTGCCGGTTTGATGCAGGCTCGAATATAGCGCGTTCTATCGCACAAGGGTACCGGAGTGCAAGCCATGTGCGATGGGCCGTGGTCGGGGTGTATAGATCAAGAATGAAGGCCGGCCGCCATCAACAAAATGTCAAGAACTGTTGCTGCGTGAAACGAGCGGCTACCTAGCGAGCTTAGGCTAACCCTAAAGGCGTTGTTCGTTCATCGACGGGCTTCCGGGAGAGTCGATGTCGGACTCTTCATCTGACTCGTCGCTTTCGAGCTCGTATAACACCTCATCCTCCTCCTCAGGTACAGAGAGCGTCACATACTCACTAAGGAGGTCTTGAAGCTCGAGGAGCCCGGTGGGATGCCTCATCCTAGACAGGACTTCCTGGGCGATCTCCCCGTTGCCCATGCGCATGGTCTCTAATATGCCACCTATCAGGCTCCGGTAGACTCTCAGGAGTTCCTCGGTGCGCTTCTGTTCGGCCTTGCGGCGCTTGTCCTTGGACTCATCGATCTGGCATGCACGACCGTGAACACGGCACTGGGTGCAGGGTATTCCTGTATCTCCGATGGTGCACTGTAACGAGGTTTCTCAGGTCAGACTAATGCAGATGCGAGGTTGAGCCAGGATAGAGACCGGAAATTTCATCCAGGAGGCGAAAACAGGAATACTCTCCAAAATAAAAACGGTACCTTACCCTTGTTCGCAGCCGTTGACACTCATAGCACGCGGTGGACGCTCGCCGTGTCTTTCCACTCTCGGGAGCCGGGGCCGGGGGGTCTCGAGCCTCATCTTCCTTGGCTGCCTTGGGCGCGATAGAACGATAGGACGTGACACCGTGTTCGGACATGTTCCCACCCTGACGTGCGAACTGATGGAAATGGGGGCTAAAGCAAACAACGGTGGATCGGACTCGACGCGAAACGGGAACGGTGAAAGAGGAAGGGACAAATACACTAGGGTGAATCGTGGAAAAGAAAAGAAGACCAACCGATCATGCTCCTCCTGGGGAGTCACATCTATGACACGATAGAGGAAAGGATCATGCTCGATCGAGACGACCTAAGACGTCTCGGTACAGCAACCTGCTGCCCTGCTGCACTTGATGAAGAAGCTAGGGGAAAGAATGAGGATGGGTGCGTGGGTGAAGTCGACTCAGCCAAGCCAGCATCGGGAGAAAAGGAAACACAGAAATGCAGTGTCAGACGCCAAAAGCCCCTCCCGGGGGGCTAATGAGGGGGGGCAATCAGGAGTGCACCGAAAGTCAAACTTGACCAAGATGGTCAGGCAGCCAAACCTGAAATCGTCAGTCCCTGAAGGCGGCATTTAGGATATCTACGCATCATCCGGGTCTAATCCCTCCTTTCCCAATACAACTCGAAAGGGCATTGGGAACTTGGAAGCCACAAAAGCGTTCAGATACTTGGACTGGTTCTGTGGCAGCTGCGGCCTTCAAGTTGGGCCTTTGATGGGGCAGAGCAAGGAAAGGTAAGAGTGGAAGGTAGGGGGAGGGGGGAAAACTGAGGAGGGGCCGCACTGGATCGCTTGTTATGAACGAACCGGTGTGAGCCATCGATCCTCTCCTCTCCTTCTCTCTGACACTGCCCAGGTACCAAAGGGTCCTTGTCAAGGAACAACTACCGGCAGGAAGGGATTGGGCTTAAAGTTCAGATGTGGGAATCCAGTGGGCAAGTGGTAGTCGCAACTTCGGTAGTTGTAACTTGGGTTTGACGTGCAGATGACGAGCCCTCGACGACGGTGAGGACAAACAAGGCTCTGTCGGCCATGGCGGGGCGGGGGGGAAGGCGATTAGCAATAACCTCACCGAGGAGAGCCAGACTGCGTACGCCATCTCAGTCAGTCCTGAGTCAGTTCCTCGACTCGAAGGCCAGGCTCTGGTTCGATTGCGATTGGGCCCGTAACATTGCAGGTCCACCGCACTATCGCCAGAATTCTCGGCCGCGGGAGCGGATCTCTTCTGGTCTCGTTGCACTTGGAGGGATCACTCGCTGGCTGGCAGTGCAGAAAGTACCGAACCATACGAGATTTGCATTATTGCCGTAACGACGAACATGCATGACGTCGATTGTCTGCTTTGCCAACCGAGCTGATTGCACGGATCTTGTCTCCGGGCAGAAGCAGCCAATGCTAAATGAGTGAGGGAGAGGGCTACTCGTCAAAATCACGGGCTGTGACGCTGTTAGCGGATTCGGGTGCAGAACTGCCACGGAAAAAGTATCCTTAAGATTTCCTTGGACAGCAGCAACGGATAGATACTGCGAGGGGGGCGGATGGAACCAGCCCCTGTGGCCGGGTAGAAAAGTAGGTATGTTAACTGCTGGGACCGAACCTGATCCAGGCTAGTGCCACCATGCATGCCCACCAGAGCCTGTCCTGACTCGGTACGTACAGCAGAAGTCTGTCTGTCTCAGCTGGAGGGCTGCCCTGTAGTTAAATAGTACGTACTGTACTCCAGTCTCCGTCAGTTGTCTGTAGTTACCCAGCGGCTCAAAGTCACACCTTCGGCCCGCATGGCATACGATCCGAGAACCACTATCTTGGCGTCTGCCCGTCCGCAAAAGAGGTTGTGTAGATATGAAACGAGTGACTGGAATGGGAGAGTTTTTCGGAATCTTTGGTTTGTGGAAGGGGGGAAGGGGGGAGAGGGAGGGAGACGTGGGAGACGCAGAGCTGAAGTTCAATGGAGCAAGGGAGGGAGTAAGTTACTGAGTAAGTTACGATCTGTAGTAGTCCATAGTCCATAGTCCATAGTCCATAGTAGGCAAGGGCCCATGGGTGGAACTGGAAATCGGAAGAAGTGGATGGGAAATCTCCGACCTTTCTCCGCTAGACCCGGCATGGCATAGTTCAGTCAAGTTGTCAACACCACCCAGCAATTTTACACTGGTCGGTCTATCCGTATCTGCTACTTACTCAGTACTACCTGGTAATCGAGGTCGTGCACTCTCATCTACAGTACAAACAACACACAACACACAACACACCAAACACTCCCTTGAAGGAGAAAAGAAAATGATCCTGGATAATACGATAATACAATCAACTGGGGGAATCACGGAATGTTGACCAGCTAACCGAAATTAAGATAAGAAGTGTCAAAAATATGCAAGAAGTGAACCGCGCACGTGAAGAAGAAAGAAAAAAAAAAAAAGAAAAAAAAAAAAACCTCATAGTGTTTCCAACTTTCTTTCGACGTCATTCATGTAAGAAAAGACCGTCTCAGTAGATAGGCCGACCTTCATCCCATTTTCGAGGGACCGGGGTAGCATCCTGACTAGCAGCCAAGAGACGACCGTCCTCGGGCGATGAAGGCGAGAAATGCACTTTGTGCACATCCCGGCCAGTGCTGTTGCCGCCGCTAATTTCAATCTCGTTGCGGACGCTGCCGATCCCCCCAATCCACTCCCACACACGCGCAACATCTCCTCCGCGACCCTCCCGCACCGCAGCTCGGACGTTGGCGTTGCCCTCAACGATACTGCGCACGCGCTTCCAGAGCCCCTCGCGCCGACTTCCACGCAACTCAGACCGGAGCACATCATCACGCAACTGTCCAATGGGGATGTAGGGCTCTCGGGCCGCACCGCGAGCATGTAGAGCCGCCTGTGTCGCGAGACGGTCAAGCGTAGTGGCCACAAGTTCAGGGACCCGGGCCATATCCGAGCGACGAGCCCGGATTTTAGAGCGGACATAAAGTGTCAGGCATAGCGTGAGAGTCAGAACTGAAATAGGAAGTCGATACGCGAGGAGAGAGAGTCGGACGTAGCGGCGGAACGCGCAGGTGAGGGGGAGCCGGCTGACGGAGGTGGAGGTGAGGGTGAGGACAGAAGATGGTCTGTAATTGTGTGGGTGCCTCTGTTAGTTCCACAATACAAGTCAGAATCCGAATCCTTGGATGGTGTGCCAGGCGGAAGGCCAGGGTGTCGCGAACAGGCTAGAATCAGAAAGAGGAGACCAGGAAATACTCACTGTTGGACTCGAGTGACGACTTCTTCTTTGCCAACCACCTCACCAAGGGCTCCCTTCCACAAGTCATCAAACTCTGCGTCACTCATTCCCTTACGGCGTTTCTTTCCGACCTCTTGCTTCAGCTCGGTTTCACTGATTTCGGGACCCGTTTCTCCTTGGTCACCGTGCACAATTTCACCACACTCCCACTTGGCCCGACGGTCGCGGAGAGTTTCGAGGGCTCTATCGGCAACAGCTTTGACTCGGCGTGCCTTCTCACTGTCGGCTTCGCACGTCGGGGCAAGAGGTACCAGCCCACCCAGCGACAGAGGGTGTGCCTTGAGGATAAAGTCATGCTCACAGCGAGCCTCAAAATTGGGATAACAGAAAGCGTGGGGAGGACACGGTTCGCACTGCGGTTCGAGAACATTGGCCCATTCAGGAACCCGGGTATCTGCCAATGACCAGGTTGGCTTGCCAATGCCGCAGAATCCAATCTCAATCTTCTCCTTGCGCCACCAAGCACCAAAACCGGCGACAAGGGCTAATATAATGATCCAAGGCGCAGCACGGCTTGCTGTCCGCGCTGTTTGGGGCCGGGTGCTGGGGGCGCTAGGCGGATACATCAGGTGCGCCCGGTCCTCCTCAAGCGCCAACTGCTCCTCGGGCGTAAATTCTTCACCAGCACTAACCTCACTGTCACTATCCTCGTATTTCTCCACCGGCTCCAGGGATTGCTGAGGGGATCTAGGCTCAGGCACGGGGAACTCAAACGAAGATCGCTTTGACGGGGTGAAGCCATAGTCGGCGTTCATATCCACTGGCGTCATAGACCTCCTAGGCCGTATACCGTTGCTGGCAGCAGGGGAGTTCAGTGAGAATCGCGAGGCGCTCTTCCGCCCAACACTCGAGGTTCTCGGGCTCCGGTGCTCCCACCGGGCTGGCGATCCACTTTGGAAGGGGTTGTCATCGGTGAAGACACTCTCATCCTTGGGTTCCAACTTGATTGCTGAGAAAGGTGTCTTCGGTTCAGGCTCGCGTTCGGGCTGCGGTTCGGCGGCAGGAGTCATCTCACTTTTGCGTGGTTTGCGGGTCGTCGACTTTCGCGGAGTAGCCGTGTTGAACGGGACCGGGGTTGCCGCCATGTCGTCGTGCGATTCCGTATCGGAGGCGCGATAGCGTTTGCTTGTCGATCGGGGGACCGTTCTTCGAGAGCTCGTGGATGGCGTGGCTGATACATGGGCATCCTCCGTATCAACCGTCGATGCTCTCGTGCTCAATTTGGAGCGTGCGCGCCGACCGCCCGTCGCGGTCGAAACAGTGGAGGGAGTAGGTGGGGGAGGCATCGACTCTCTGCCAGATTCATGGTGTTGATCGTTGTAATCGCTCACAACGGATGAGGCGCGACTACCCATATCCGTAATTCCTTCACTGGTTCTCCTCACCCTTTCCCGTTCGCGCAAAAGTTTCTTGGCCTGAGGCAAAACTTCTGTCTCAAGAATGCTGATGAGTTGGGCCTTCTTGGCTGAGGCTGGATAGGGAACATCGTGGCTAACGAGGATGGACCGAAGACGGGGAACGGTGAGCGAATTCAAGTCAAAGTCGGCAGCCAAATAATCCAAACCGTCCGCCATGATGAAAAGTGATTGATCGTAGCAGTGATCAACGCCACCAGGGGAGGGGTAGGGAAGGGAGAATGAAGTTGGAAGAGGAAGTGATGATGATGTTACGGCAGAAAAAAAATCCGGGGGGGGGGGGAATTTTTAGAAAGGAAGAGGACTAAGATTAAAGTGGCCAGCCGGTTGGCGGTCG